AGTATTATGGTTATTTTGGCACAGAAAATGAAAATTAGTGAAATGGGGTCAAATTCACAGTCTGCTGTGTTCAGTTTAACAGAAATACCCTCAGGAAGAACCTGAATCCATTTCTTCTCCCCCAATCCAGCCAGGAGTTAAATGGCAGCATAAACTGGGTTCTTTAGACTTGGATGGCAGCTGCTGAGGAAGGACAACTCTGAATTCAAAACTGTATAGAAGGTAATGGGAATCCACTGCACTATCTTTCCAAAAATGTCATGGCAATTCACACATGAAGAAAAAGAAACTGGGGAGAGCCATAATTACCAATATCCTGAAGGGATGTGATATTAAAAAAAATCAAATTAAGCAATATTGCAACTTCACATTAGCATTTATTTTAGTCTTTATAGAGTTCTCCTAATGAAAAAAATTCAAAACTGTAAAATGTACCCAAAGTCGATAAAGATTAAAAAAAAAATTGGAGAATAGAATTTTGAAATTACATTAAAGATGACAGAAGATTAACATTATAAATAGATTGTTCAGTAAAACTAAAAGAAAAATATGCTTTATTTTTACTCAATATACTTTTTTGTCCACCTAATAGTATCAAATGACTAATAAGCTTAGAAGCATCTATTTATCCATAAAAATCAAACTATTGGAGCAAAATAAGAAATAGAAAGATCCCATAGATTTTTCTAAAATGTTGCAAACCATTGGGCTAAATCTGCTAGTATTCAGTAGCTCATACAAACTGATAACTGACTAGTATTTATAAAATTACATAAATGAAAAGTTACTAAGAAAAAATAGTCTTGTTATTAGATTACTTCTTATTGTTTCTTATACTATTTCTTACGTTAGTCTAAAACAAAAAATGTAGTTACCATAATACTGAAGAAAAATGTCAGATTTCTTAACCTTTTACCCTTTTTTCTACTACCTGAGCTACACAAATTCTTCTAAGAATTATTTATAGAAACACTATTAAACTATAAGGAGGAGAGGCTTCTTGCTTTTATGCTGAACCTAGATATTCCTTAGATATTAATCAGCTTAATATTTTGGATATTGAAGACTTTCCAGCTTTTAATATTATTCTCTACCAATTGAACTAAACTAACAAGTGCAGTTTGTGTAGCAAGTAGTCTACAAAGATTGCCTGATATCTCTCAAAATATACAATTACAAAATTCTTTCACAAGAACAAGATATGATGCCCAACTTCTACAGAAAGCGGCAGTGATGATAATGCTACTGCTGATAATGTAGATGGTGTGTGCAATGAAGTCTTTATCAAGTGTTGGCTCTACATCCAGTTCCCTCATCACACACACATTAGAAGATAAGTCAGAACTTGCTTCATGAATTCCTCTCTGCCCTCAACCTGGCATAATTCCAGCAATAACATCAGATAAGATGTTGCTAACCATCAAGCTAAATCTGCTTGTATTCACCAGCTCATACAAACTGATAACTGACCAGTATTTATAAAATTGCATAAATGAATAAAAAAAAAAAAAAAAAAAAAGCAAAGATTAAGTTTAAATTTTTATTTAATTTCAAAGCTATTTCAAATGAATTCCAAAACATTTACATTATGATTCAAATTTAACAATTTCTTTTAAGCAGGCAATAATAGTCATCTATCTTATTCATGATAGCAATAGTTGAAAGTAAGATTGTGTTGTTTCATATATTAATTGAAGGTCTCAAGTAGCATAGCAATTGACAGTATGAAAAATAGAATTGGAAAAGTGAATTTATATTTGGGCTGAGGCTGTTTGTAAACAATCAACACTATTGTGCTTAGAAAAGGCATGAATGGTCAATGCCAGATATCATTATAAAAAATGTCTCATTGCAAGCAAGCCACAATAGTTGACAGATGAAGAGAATGAGCACTTAGGCATACCTACTTTACCATTCAAGCAGCAGTAACAGTAAAAAAGCCTTTACACTCATTTTCAACCTTGACATGTCCCAACATTTGTTGAAATAAACTGTTTCTTGCTATATAACCTAAATATGAGTTAGAAAATAATTTTTCTTACTTATTTTTATACTTTATAATGCTATAGAAATTTCTTAAAACTTTATGAATGAAAATCCTTTCCTACAGAATAGTTACAAGATGTTACTCTGAACTGAAAATTACAATTGATGTTTATCACTTGCCTTTTAGAAAAATTTGGTACATTTAATTTTTTTTAATTCTTTTAAAATTATTTTCTAAGTGGTTGCCTTTCATTTTAAGTTCTTGGCAATTTATGATGTTTCTATTCTGAAATGAAATTTATATCAAAAACTATTTTTAAAAAAAAAAAGATTTAACTTTTACAGAATTAGAGAAAAATGTCAATTTCATATATTATATTAACAAAATAAATATAATCTCAGCATGATTTTAAAACTACAATTGGATTAAACTGAAGTCTCCTCTCTTTATACTCTGACAACAATCTTATTCGGTAACCCTCTACCTTAGGTGGCTCTTGGGCTTTTTATTGTGTGAACAATAGTACAATAAAAAAATAAATAAAAATTAGAGATAGGAACCTAATAAGATGTAGCTCCTTCCTTTGCCTGAATAATGGCATGTGACATGGAATAAAGTCTATGAGTGTTGGAGTCATTATCAATCCAGACATGTTCCAAGGCAGTCCGTAACAGAGCTGTGTTTGTTGGGTTTGACTAGAGGAATGGTAGTGAGGTCTACAGCATGTCCCATATGTGGGGTTCAAATCTAACATGCACAGGGGCCAATGGAGTATATAGATGTCAGATGAATGTTGCTGGAACAAACCATCACCACTGAGAAACAATGGAAGCATAAAGGAGTGTAAATGGTCTACAAGATCTGTGCATGTCAAACCTGTCAAGATAAACTCCAGTTTTAGTGGTTGTCCTTGATAAATCCAACAATGCATTCCATAACCTTACAGAGCCACCAAAAGTTTGCACAACACTCTGCTGAAAAGATGGATCATTGGGCAGGTCCCATCATGCACAACATTGACAGTCTGCTAGAAAATAACTGGAAACATGACATGACTAATCAGACAATATGGCACTAGACTTCCACTATTCAATGGTGATGTTCTCTGGCCCAAGAGGGATGCAGTAACTGGTAACATGGTGTCAGTGGCCTTTTTAACTACAGGAGTTGCAACACTAATGTCAGCAACTATTACCATGATCTCTTAAGAACATTTTAAAATAAAATTGCATGCTCTTTCATAAGAAAAGTAAAAAGAGTAAACTGATGTTCTTTTTTTGCTTTTGAAATCTAAACATTTAATTTGGAAAAAAAATATACATAGTGTATTGTTCTAGCAGAGGTATGGTCAAATAAGGTACAGTGGAGGTCCAGTGGCATAATGGATAGCTACTCGAATTGAGGAGTTGGAGAGTTGAGTTCAAATTCCATTTGAGTTCATTACATTCACTTACATGCTAATAACCTTGGGAAAGGTATGACTCCATCTCTTCGCTGAGATATGGGTAAAATAGAAGAACAGATTAGACCCTATAACCTTGGTTGGTAACCAGTCTAATAGAAGGAAAACTGAATTCAAACAAGTCTGGAGAGGGTTGGGCTTTGTCAGGCTTTCTTGCCCAAGACTCATTACTGCTGCTACGGCTGCAGTAGATATGGTTACTAAGGAGTTACAGGATTTGTGATCATTATGAAACCTTACAGAATGCTGTTTCATGCCATAACATTGACTAATAGAATAAGTGGTATCAACATTGAAATAGGATGCAATTTGTTACAATGTTTCTTTTTGTTGTATAGTTAATCCTTATCAACCATTTGTGGTTCTATTTTTGCATTACTTGTAGGTGTACACAGTTTTCATGTGCCACTGCTATCTGTCTGGAATTCACATATTCCTGGTAGCTAATGTGATCTGAGAAATGCAGTTGCCATAGAGATAAAGCACCCCATCTTTCTGGTCCTAAAACCAATTCTGTGGTCAGTGCTAAACCTTGTTTATGGTTTATGATTGCCAAGGCTATGCTATCTCTTTAACTATTAGGGAAATTAATTCTGCTGTATGTGAGACCCAAGTGGGGGATGGGTATAACCATCCTACTAGTGTCTCTAATTTTTTGGTATCTCAGTTTACAGTGGTAAAACTCCATACTCAACAATAAATTGATGACTCCATAAACATTATTCAAAACATTTGTGCAGGTTGGGATGGTGGATTTTACAATATATCAAAACTTGTTGGGTCTTTTAATGTCAAACTATTTTTTATTATACTTGAGTCTATATAGGTAAACATCAGTTGGGTTCATCCAATCACTATCCGAATTACTTCAGAAGCGTGCTGGTGAAATTCTCTGCCTCCGGGCAGAGAGGATACCCAGATGAGGCTATGCCGAAAGGCACAGTCTCGTCTGGGGTGGTAGACAGCTACCCAACCCCATTTTTTACGGCGTCTACGGAGAATTTTTGCCCGAGCCTACGGGCTCGGATACCCCACAATAAACTCGGCCTTGTGCCACATCCAACCGCATGGGGCAGTTAGTGAATATCATCAGCTGGGTTCATCCTTTAATCTATATAGGTAAACATCAGGTGTGCTTATAGTTGCGTTTGTATAGGTAAACATCAATTGGGTATATACTTGAGTGTATGTAGGTAAGCATCAGTTGGATTTATACTTGAGTCTATATAAGTAAACTTCAGAATCAAGTGGTATTGCTGAAATCCATCTGAACTTCAGATTTTTAAAAGATCATGTGAGGGACATATTTTTGAGGGAGTTTTCCAACTCTGCACACTCCTTAATTTTGAGTTTTTTGGCCAATTAAATGATTTTCTGATTTTATTGACCCCCTCCTCAGCCAATTTATTGCACATTGAGTAAAATTACTACACCTCCAATTCTTAGGACCCTCCATATTAGGCACCTAAGAGTTATCTCTATTATGATCAAAGATACTAAAATTCCATAAGAGAAATGCATAAAAAGAAACAAAAAATAAAGAAAACCAACCTGATCAGCATCTCTTTCACAAGTGAAGAGTTGAAGAATTTGTTGAAGTTTTAACCTGCGAACATCAGCCAGTTCATCACATCGAAGTTTTCGCTCTTGCAAATCTTCCACACTTTTGTTTATGTGTTTTATCTGATTAGAATAATTTGGAGTTATGTCTACTCCAGATGAATTTTTCATTGGTCGAGACATTTCATCCAATAAGCTTTGTCCATCATTGAGTGTTTGATTGGCCAAAGAATCTACAAGAGAAAAAAATGAAATAGTTATTTTCACTAGCAGGAAAAACACACAGTGCATCTGTAATTTAAAAGATGATAAAATAGTTAATAAATTTCAATAAATGGAGAAAAATGTTCAGTTTATAAATTTATATATACTTAAAAAAATGTTTTTAAACGTTTTTTAACTTTATGAAAGAAAATATCCCTTTCAAAAAAATATGACTACTTTTCATTTCTTTGCTCAACCATTTAACATTTTTACTATAGCTTGACAATAAAAACAGCATAAAATTGTACACAGTTAAATACTGGCTGTAACCAATATTCTTCAAAGTTTCAAGATTGTCAAAGGCTTAAAATTACATCTTATTCATCATCATTGAATAGCATAGCTCAATTTCAATAGAATTTTTAATGGATACCTGCATAGTAATATAACATATGACAGCAGTGTTAAAGGTGTTTTACAGAAACTACTATGCTTTAATAATTCACTTGTACTAATATTGAATTCTATTATATCCTTGACAATTAGTTGGTTAGTTAGTATTTCAATGATGTTCGCCACTGTGAAAAAAGATAATTTGCACAACAGTCTATGCGTGAATATGAGTCTGGTCACACAAAATGTTATGACATAACTGATGAAGTTGAACAAATTTGCATTAGGCCTTCAGCAAGATAACATGAAAGTGTGCAGATGAACTACATTCCTTAGTTCCACCAGTTCTAACCTTCACAACTAAAACCCACTATGCCACGGACATTATAGTAAATGACATTCATATTCCATTGGTGAGATGTAAGTTCCACTCAAGCAGCTTCTTCTTATGAACTGCTGCTTTGTTTGACCAACTTCCAAGAGGATGCTTCTGTGATCACTAGGATCTTAATCAGTTCAAGTCTAGGGGGTTAACCATTATCTTTCCCACATATCTCCATGAACTGAGCCTGTTACTCTGTAACCCTCTGCCTTGAATAGCTCTTGAGCCATATACAGGGTGAAAATTATTGTTTTTATATATATATATATATATATATATATATATATATATATATATATATATTTTAAAGAATATCAAATACTTAAAATCACATAGGTAATAATTTTTATTTCATGAGAGCTCTAAAAAAAAAAAAAAAAAAAAAAGGCAGTTCTCAATCAGTGAAATTTGGCCATTGACAGAAACAGATGGATATTTTTTCCGATTCACACTGAAGTAACTACACTTTAAGCCTCCCACCATCCTCAAATGACATACTAAGGTCAGTATGTCAAAATAGGTCAACACTCTCTGCCTTTTCCTACTCTCTAAATAAAATAGCAATATCTCTTGATTTCCATTTCATTTGTGATTTTTTGTAGGTCTTGAAAATTGAGAGCTGATTTTTTTAGAGCTCTCATGAAATAAATATTATTACCTATGAGATTTTAAGTGTTTGATAATTTTTAATTAATAATAATTTTGCTCTGTCTTTTGACAGAGTTTTCCCTGGATCTATATCCTCCTGGAAATTCCATACCAATTACCATATTGTATCATTACTATATATATATATATATATATATATATATATATATATATATATATATATATATATATGTATGTGTGTGTGAAGTTTGTTGCACAGGGTTGATCTCTATCAGCATCTGATTTTTTTTATTTTATTTAACAGTGATACAATGAGACTTTCACAAATAGTGGCCTTTTTCAACAGCAGGTGTTGCAACCCCAGTAAAAGCAACTATTACTATAACCTCTTAAAAACATTTTAAAATAAACTTGCATGCTCTCTCATAAGAAAAGAAAAAAAGAGCTAATTTTTTTAAAATTTAAACATTTAATTTTTAAAGATAAAATATACATAGTGTATTGTTCTAACAATACACATAGTTTACAAGAATATTGAAAAGTGTGCTTGCATTCACTTTAACTTATCCAAGTCCCCTACCTGTTCATTTCAAACTTTGGTAGATGACCTTCTATTTATAATACCAGCAAATTGGATGTAGTGTAGTATTTGTATTTTAAATATGCATCTTTTGCTAGAAAATATGGGAAGTAAATTTTTCCCTTAAAAAAAAGATATCTGGAATTAAAAAATGACTGTTACTAATATTTATGTATTAATGCTGATTGATAAAAATAAAGGATGAATTGAAAGAATACCTATTTCTTTGCATTTGTCATTCAAAGTGCTCAGTTCCATTTCTGCAGCTGCTGCATCTTCAACTTTTACTTCAGAGCATAATAATTCCAATAATTCATCCAAATGAGAAGATAACTAAAAAAATAGACAAAGCCACATGAATAAATTGAAAGAAAACCCAAAATATAAAAGGTGTATCAATAAGTCTATAGCCTGACACATAGTTATTAACTGAAATTTGATTTATATTGATGGCAAGAGAGATAGGGGAAGGCAGCAAACCACCTAACTGATGAGTTTGTGGGAGCTTGTGGGAATGGATGGAGGAAAGAAGGGTGGGAGCTTTAATGAAGACAGAAAAACAGCTAAGAGCCACAAGGAATAGGAAGTTTTGGAGAGCCATGATTGCCCATGTCCTGAAGGGATGTAGCTCATAAAAGAAGAATTAATATTTATCACAGAATTACTAGATTTCTTAGTCTCAATAAAATGCCCCAATTTTTACGTGCAAAACTTTGAAAAACAAATAGATATACATAAACACACACGTACACACAGAATGTAAATATTCAAAACTTATTTCAGGAAAAAATAACATCATTAATGCTGAGAAATATGACAAGTGCATTAAAAAGGATTGATAGATTGATTGACTTGTTCTTTTTACAATTTATCAACCTTTTGTGGGTTATTTAAGGTGAAATATATTTTGGGTTTTAAGAATAATTCTTTTTTTTTGAGTGAATGTTCCATTAACAATATTTTTAGAATAACAATGATTTTTTCCAGATACAAGTCATATTAACCTATTGCTTGAGGGAGGATATTCATACCTTTCTCTAAGGTTATTTGCATGTAAGTGAACAGCATTAAAAAAGAAAGATATTATGCTCAAAGAAAATTATTTATTGCATGAAATAAATGCTTTTTTATACATTAATCTGTGGACTTACTGATATACCTATAAATATTCTGAGTCAAAACATTAAAAAGGTACATTTTTCAAAAGTTTCTTAATGAATTTTAAAGTAATTTTTTAAAGTTCCTGATTATCAAAAACTCTTTCATTAGTGTTTATTGTTTCTTTTCATCAACAGGCTACAGGCTTATTAATGGAACTATGATACACTGGTGTGTAAAAGTTTTGGGCCAACTCCATAAAATGATTATACACCTTTATTTTACCAAGAAGTTAAGATTGTTTAGCAGTATGCTTTTATCAGTGTCTGGACTGTGAGGATTGGAAAATAAGTTATTGCATTTTCATAGGTGCCATATAACAGATGCTACACTACTTTAAGCAGTTTTTAAATGAAAAAAGCCCATGCAAAACTATTGAGCCAATGAAAGATCTGAGATGATAAAGTCATAATATGCAAATTACTAAGTAGGAATTGTTCTCCCTTATTAAGATGTGTGTAAGGGGCCTTGGCAAGTTAGTGTAGTTGAACATGAGCTTGCTACTTTTCTTTTACACTAAAACCATGGCTAAAATTTTCTGAAACAAAGATGATGGTTGTGACTTGAAAGAGAAGATAACCAGAGATAGCCAGGCAGATGGGAATTTCTCAAAACAGTGTCTAAACAATCAAAAGATATTTGCTAAAACTGGAAAATGTTATAAGTGCAAAAAGAAATGGAAGACTAGAAAAGTTAATAACAAGAGGGACAAAAGAAAGATTGTGATAGTCTCGGTATGCAATCCAAAATTAATAGCCAGACAAGTGAGCAATGAATGCAGTCTTAACAATGAGGTTACAGTTGATACAGTATGCAAAGTGTTATGAAAAAAAATAATCTAAACGAGTGTATAGCAGCAAAAAAAAATTATTAAGCAAAAAAAACATTGGAATAGAAGATTGAAATGATTAAAAGAATATCTAATATAGGATGCTGGAAAGTGGCAAAAAGTAATTTTTAGTGATGACTGCAAAATAGAGTTTCATTCAAATGTGAGAGAATATGTAAGACCAGTGGGAGAATGAAACAATGCAAGACACACAACAAAGATGGTAAAATTTGGTGGTGGACACATAATAGTGTGGGGTTATATCAAAAGTCATAGTAGAAGAAAATTGGTAAAAGTTAATGAAAACCTAAACAGTGAAAAGTATATTAGTTTACTATGGTCTAAATATTCTGCCAGACTATGAAGATGCAGAAATGTTCAGCATGTCAGTGCTCCTTGCCACACATCACTTTGGATGAAGATGTTTAACTTTTGGAAGATTGGCCAGCACAAAGTCCTGATCCCAATATAATTGAACAGTTTAATGGGAACTAAAGAAACAATTGCTCTAACAAAAACCATGCAATCTCCAAGAGTTTTGGGATTACAGCCAAGAAGAATTGAAAAAAATAATCCCAATGAGAAAACTTGGACTATGTTTCCTTCAACTGCCACATCAAATTGAGGCAATTATTCAAACCAAAGGCAACAACACTAATTATGAATTCCATATTTTGATGTTTTTTTACTTCCTGCAATAATAAAGATCACTTTAAAACAATAATTCTTAATTTAACATGGTGGCACAAAAATTTTGCACACCAGTATATATCAATAAGCTTTTTTCTTGTTTCAGAGTTTAGATCTTATTCCTATTATGAAATCTTTCAATTCCTCTGTAATAAGAATTCTATCTTATTTTTTCTAATAAATGCAATGATCAAAGCTGTAATAATGGATGTGAATATATATAAATTTATGTACATTATATATATTATGTATATAAATTTATACTTCAATATATCTTCACTGAATTTTAATATTTCAGAATGGTAGTGGTGAGATTAGCCATTTCCACACAGGAAATATTCAGCATTCATTGACCAAGCAGTTAGCATTATTCTAAATTGAAATTTATAAAATGTTTCTCGTAAAACAGTTTTTTTTAGAATTCTCAATGTGCGAGATAAAAAAAAAAACAACTTCTTGCGACACAAAAAACGAATGCTACACAAAAACGAAAGCCTACTTGCGACACAACAACGAACGCCTTCTTGCGAACCAGAAACGAATGCGACACAAAACGAACGCCTACTTGTGAACCAGAAATGAATGCAACACAAAACGAACACCTACTTGCGAACCAGAAACGAATGCGACACAAAACGAACACCTACTTGCGAACCAGAAACGAATGCAACACAAAACGAACACCTACTTGCGAACCAGAAACGAATGCGACACAAAACGAACACCTACTTGCGAACCAGAAACAAATGCAACACAAAACGAACGCCTACTTGCAAACCAGAAATGAATGCGACACAAAACGAATGCCTACTTGTGAACCAGAAACGAATGCAACACAAAACGAACGCCTACTTGCGAACCAGAAACGAATGCAACACAAAACGAACGCCTACTTGTGACACAACACTTTACGACAGCCAACGAGCAAAACGGCACCCAAGACTGCTACCGAGGGACGACCGACCGCAACGGCTTTTGTCACCCAAGAAAAGACGCCAAACAACTCGCGCATCTTCTTCTTATAGTCTTCGGTCGAGTCCATTATGGTACTCCAAGGTGTGCCCGGCGACAACACACACACGCAGTTCAAGGACCTTTTCGCGCATGCTCGTTACACTCAATTCCATTATTATTGCTCTTTCAAGTATTGATGGGAGTTTCCTTTCTAACCTTTTATTTAATGTAGTATGGAAAGTCAATATCTTTGTTGAATGGTTAAGATAGGTACATTCACATTTTCATGGTAAACAGCATAGTGTAATGAAAAAGGCCACAAACTTAATAAAAAAAAGTTTTATCATCAAAATGTTTATGTTATTATTAAGATGAAATACCAAAGTAATTTTTAATTATTTTGGAAATTTTTTAATCCTTTCTAAAGAAAGAGAAGGATAAATTTGAAGATACTTTCTTACATTAGGTCAAAACTGATATTTTGTCAATAGATAAATTAGATAAGGATACAAAGTGAGATCCCATATTGAACAATATATTGTTCAGGATAAAAAATAATGTGGAATAATTGCTCATGGGCAGAAAGCTGCTTTAAAGAGGTCAAACACAAGTTAACTGTAGAAAAGGGTGTAATTTGTAATGGAGCAAAGCAAAGAAGCAAAATTATAAAAAAGCATACATGACAAAGTTCATTGTGGAAGAACATCTATGAAAAGGAGATTAAGGCTAGAGGCAGGCTATTCTACAGATGTAGAAGAATACATTGTTAAAATGTGCAATGTCAGAAGAAAATTCAGACAGACAAAAACACATACATGGCATAAAGAGTCCAAATCTTGGGACAGAGTACACATGGATTATGCTCATGTTAATGGAGTGGGATTGTTACTAATACTGGTAGATTTGTATTCAGGCTGGTCAGAAATAATACAGATCTCCAAAAAAAGAAATTTCACCATGAAACAAGCGCTAAGGATCATATTTTCAAGAAATGGAATTCCAAAAACACTATGCAAACCATACAAAACCCCTCCATACCATCCGCAATCAAATGAATTAGCAGAAAGGATGCTGCAAAGTATAAAAAACAGATTGACAATATATCTACCATGGAAAGAAAAAATAGAAAAATTTCTTCCTAGATTGTTGATAAGCTATAGGACAATACCAAATGCTGAAGATTGAAAGCTCACCAACCCTCATGAGTAAACAAATTAGAACCTTATTGACCATATCTTATGTCATCAACAAAAAACTGTAGTATAAAAAGATAGTGAATCTAATCTACAAGAGGCAAGATTCATAATGCAAAGTGAACAGAACATTATGATAATAGAAAAAAATGGAAATGGGATATTAGCGCATGGAGACCAAGTTAGATTGCAACATGATAGTGATGAAGAAATGTAGAATGAGCCTGAAAGTAATGAAGGCAAAAATGTCATGTTAAAGCAAGACAGACATGACAGTGAAATTGAGAGCAATATAGACTCTGAAGATGAACAATCGTTGGAGGAACTCTCCTATGAAAAAAGAAAAAGATCTCAATCTCCCATATCTAGACAATCTCTTAGAAAAAAGGAGAAAGATAGTGAGGAGAAAAAAGCTCCCAGAAGAAGTACTAGGGAAAATAATGGGATAAAACCTCTTTGGTACAGGGAGATGAGGTGACTCATTTACATAGGAAGTCATAAAGACTATAAATAGCTATGGCTATTACCCATGAGCAGTTGAGTGCATACTACTTCTGCATTACTACTAGTCAGTAACACTACACTACAGACAAGATATTAATATTTATGCATGTTGCTAGTAAATATTTTTTACACAACACTTAGTAAACTATATCTTGGTATTTAAAAATAGTAGTACACACACAGATAAATATTTTGACTATAATTCTTGAAATTTTCCCAATATCTTTTGCAACTTCTAGGTCATCATACTCAGGCAGTGATTCAAGATATTTTGTAGGTTGTAGTGAAAAGAGTGAAAGCAATGATTGTCTAGGAGTGGCTGATAAGATATTTTGCTATGACATCACACACCAACACTGATAACATACACAAACCTCAGAGGGGAAAAAGACTAAAATTAAAAGCAAAACAAAAACAACAAAAATTGCCTGCAGGAAAAATAAATTAAAACAAAAAAATAAGTCATATAGTTAAATGGTGCTTACTACTGGCTAATTATGAGGATGTTTTCATTGGAATTAGCAAAAGATTATAAAATCTAATGTGTAACCACAACAATTTTACATATTCATTTTAATACCATACTGACATAATTGCCACAAAAAGAAAAGAAATACTAAATAAGTTTTCAAATTTGTACAATATACTTCATACAAAATTATTTTTTATCTTTAAAGTACTATATTTGATGATAAAGATGTTGCATCATTATTCTATTAAAGAATATCCAAGAAATGCTAGTAGCCTATTCAATATAGAATACTGGTATACTGAAAGGTAGACTTCTTTTGCTATAAAAAGTATCTCATTTTATTTACAGTTGAATGTTGTAAACAAAATGTAAATTATCATCTAATGTTTGTATGCATATATAAACATTAATACCATATTAAACACTAGTTGGTAAGATTCAGAACTGACTATGTTAATAAAACTAATTTCTAAGTATGTTTCATTGTAAGTGCTTAGCAATGTTTAGTTAAAATTTAAAAAGTTAAGATTAAAAAATTTGTTAAAATTCAAATTGATAATTTGCTAAACTTTTATAAAATGAAAGACATAAAATATTTGTTTAAAAAACAAAAACATCCTTACATCCTCAGCAAATCGATGAAAACGAACAGAAGTTATTAGTAAAATTTTGCGTCTCTCCAAACGACTGGCAAAACCTCTGCACACAGTATCCATGTAATCTCTCTGGGCAAGAATATTTGAAGAAAAGGATTCATTTTCTTGGATGACTTCTTCAGACTTGTGCCGAAGTTCTGCATAATTGCCATAAGTCTCCTAAAACATAATAAAATAAATAAAATAAAATTACATTTTATTTTACATAACTTATCAAAAAATAAAAATATGTAAGATTCCTGAGGTTGGTACACTAAAATCTATATAAGTCTTAATATCTATATTCATTTCCATTGTTAGGTAGCTAATTGTAATATTCACAAATGCGTTTCTTGACCTCTAAAAGGTCATGGATTTACATGTGGTTGAAGGAAAACAAAACATAATTTGGTCCCATGATTTATGTATGTGTAGGATTACTTGATTTAAAAAAAAAGGAGAAAAAGAAAAAATCAACAAGCATCAGTATTGTTAGTAGTAGAAGTAACAAAATAGGGAACAGATTTTTTTTTTAAATTCCTGCTCTCTTTCTGTATACTTGGAGGTAGTCTGATAGTTTGAAGTAAAGGAATCTCATCTGGTATTCAAACTCTTATTCTCTATCTAATCTACATTTTGAATAAAACAAGAACATGATAACCACAATGGAATATACCAGAATTGTATTTCCTACCATGATTTACAATTTTTCATATTTTCTCTTGTGTAATACTTTTGCTTAAAACCTTGTGTTAAAAAATTATGTTAAGCTAATAGTTGCTAATAATTATTATTTTTCTAGATATCTATTCAGAGTGCTTCATATCTTTAAGCTGCAGTCTTTTGGAGTTCAAAAACATAATCTTTTTCATGGAAACATAATATCAAATAATCTTTCTTTATTTTAGATGTAAATGATGAATTAAGCTTAGGTATTATCCCTGCTGTAACCTTCCACCAAACTTCCTTAACCCTCAATATCTGTTTCCATTTTAGTCCTACATTCCTGTTGACATGAAACAATAAAACCATTAACATGGTTGTTAATTAACACAGATATTTAGTTAACTGATCCCTTCAATTAACAGTAAAATAAATGGTATATAATCAATCAGAAAAACATTACAAACATTCCATTTTTATACTAACATTCATACTATTTTTGCTACTACTATTATTACCACTATGAGGATAGAGATTTTCCAACCGTAGCTTAGATGTGGCACAAGTATGAGGCACACAGTGAGGATCAAACTCACTACTTAGTTGTAATTGTTCTACCAAGACAAGCTTGCTAACCATTACACTGCCTCGAGATGCCCTACTATTATAAGGATATGATGAAAAGTTCTAAGACCAATCAAGAAAGAAATCAAAATAATAATAATAATATATTGCTATTTTGAGAAGTGAGTCAGTTTGATAACTTTTTATATAATTCTATAGTATATCAAACAAAGACGTTAATCTAATAACCAATGGGGCACAAGATACAAGGATGACTTTTAGAAGCTAGAATATAAAACGTGACTGAAATAGTTACACATTTCCCACTGGTGCTAAAGGTCAAATTCTTCTTCTTTATGTATCATGACCCTTCAGGATGTAGGCAATCATGGCTCTCTTCAATTTCCTGTCCTTCGTAGCTCTTAATAAATTTTGGCTTTGTGTTATTTCTCCTAAACCTTGTTCTGCCTTCCATTTACTTAAGCTCACTAAGAACATTATGCATTATTTTCCACTGTCCCTCTTGCCTTAAATCTGTGCTGTGAGTATCAGATTTTCCAAGCCCACATTTATCATTATGTGCCCTAGAAATTTCAACTATCTCTTCCTAATGTTAACTATAAGTTTCTTTTTTGTTTCCATTTTCTCTAAAACTTTGTCTTTGCTCACATATTAGATCCATGATATCCCCAGTATCCTTCTATAGAACCACATTTTTGTTGCTTCATATTTGAAGAGATTGTCCAGCATTCACTGCTAGATAGGAGGAGAGATATTCTGTAACAGTTCAGTACTCTTTCCTTTTCTGTTTCTTAATACACTGCTTAGCTTTTGGAATACAACTTTGGCTATCTCAATGCACCTTCAGATTTCAGTGTTGCACTTTCCATTCTGTTAAAACTTTTTCCAGATATTTAAATTTTTCGTACTTGTTTGATTTTGGTATCTCCAATTTGTAATTTGCATTTTGAGCTCATCCTTCAGCTGACTACCATGCATTCTGTCTTCTTGCAGTTGATGTTTAATTATTCCTTCTCACTTTACTTCACTACCATCCGTTGAAGTTTTTGTAGAAAGAGTCCAAATTAAAAGCCAGGATTTCAAATTATTATATGGCTTAGTAAACTTGTTTTCAAGTGGCATTTGTGGTCTTCTACTATTAGGTTGTACCTTTACTCCAAGTTAGGTAACTGAAACTATACATTGTTGTTGGTTGAATCATAAAATTGTTAATTGTCATTATGATACTTCAGAAGAATGGAGTATTGCTACCATATCAGGGCTGGTTGGGGGGGGGGAAGAATTATTCTCCACCCTGCAACCCTTACCCCACAGATGAAACATTGCTAGCCTCTCACTACTATATCACTATTACTAGGGCAGATGTTTGAACAAGCTAAGTTCTTTATTTCCATCAGCTCAGACCTTCATAGTGGCAAACCATCCCAATTCCCTTGTAGAGGAAGTGAAAGGCAAGATGAACTGCTGGCTACTTTCGATGAGGTGGCCTGTCCCTGTCCATCAAAAAGACAATGCTTGATGTGCTCTGCATGCAGGAGAGGATGACCAGTGCGAACCCAAGTATCTCCACTTGTAAAAATATATAGTTGTGGCAGTAGGTTAAGTAGTGCCTAGAATTTGCTTATGCCAATGTTTTGTGTTTTCCATAACAAAATTATCGATATTTCTGAGCTCAATATAAAAGACAGACTTGTACATTATTTACATTATTCGGACTATTGTTTTTTGTCTTTTTTATTATTTACATTATTCTTCAGGACTGGAATTGTCCTCATCTTTGTTCCATGTGCCATGTTTTTTTAATGGATTATTATAGTTATCTCCGTTAATTTTTGAGACAGATTTCTGCTCTATCAGTGAGTGTAGTATGCTGGAACATCATGATTCTGATTTGATTTTTTTGTTCATTGTTGTTTTCTGTGTCCTGGAATTTGCACCATTCCTGTGTGGAATTCTTCAACCTCTTTGGATTTCTCTGTCTTATTTGCTTTTTCATTGGGCTGCTGTTAGACCTGTTTGTATTCCAATTTTGTCTCTTTGTGTTTTTGATAATGGATCTTCCCCAGAACTGTTATTTATGGAACAAATCCTGTGAATGCTTCCTGACAACTACAATATCTCCTGTCAACTGATATTTTTTCCCTTACTTCTCAATGACAGATTTATAATAATCAACTCCTTTTTACTGCAGAATTGATTTGATCTGATCCTCCATTCTATTTACAATAGAGACAGGATTTAACAGCCCTAGATAGATTTTATATTTGGTATTTGTTAAATAAAACACATGTACTATTTTTCTTGGCCCATTCATTTCCTGTCTCCATTTCACTCATTTGCTCTTATGCTGTATTAACCTAAGTTTACCAAATATTTGATATACAATGAACAATCTATTGTAAAGGACCATCAATGATAGCCTAATTTCCTGAATTTGATTTTATTTTGTAAAAAGATTTATAACGCAAACATAATTATTACCATCTATAATTTCAAGAAACATTTTTATTTTGTTTGAACTACTGAACCTATTCTTTTTGCCATCTTTGTTGCAACTACAAGAAAATCAGAAAATTAAAGGAAGTGGTATATATTAATTAGAAGGACAGGAGTATAAGTTAGGTCAGTATGAATTTTAGTGAAGTGCAGATTTAAGCATGAAGATAATTAAAGAGCATCTCTGCACATAAATATAGAATCTTTAGTGTCACATAGGTTGCTTGAAATGGAATTCTGCATTGCCAGAATTGAGCTGAACTGTTCAGTATATTAGATACTATTTCTTTTGTTTACCTCTGCAAAAAAAAAGAGAAAGACAGCTCTCTTTCCTTACAGATTCTATGCCTGAAAAAGACTTCAGGATCAACTGAAATGTGGTAATCATAAAAATGATACCAATAAATATAAATATTAGATATATTATAAATATTAGATGAGAAAAATAACACAATAAATGAATAGCACACAAGTTCAATAATCAAAAACAGAATTGCTACATACAGCACATTTAATCTCTAATTCTTCATGTCTTTTTCGGAGCACTTCTGCAGATTCACAACTGTCTCCAATGTCAGTCATGGAGGCAAGTAGCTTTTCTCCTGGACCAAGAATCCAGTCAACAACCTGAAATATAAGAAGAAAGAATAGTTTCAATTTTCAAATAACAAGGTCATCTAGTATTGCTAACATTATTTTTTTTTTTAAATCATCCTATAGTTTCATTTATTTTTCTGATTTACTTTTAACTTTTTACTGTTAATTTTAAATTTAAAAAAACAAAAAACAAATGTAAGAAAGAAAATAATTTGTTTGGTGAAATACAAACAAATATCTTATACTAAACTTTTACTGATGATAAAATCTAGAACTTAATTTCCTTCCTTATGAATTAAAGTAGAATTGTTTGAATTGACTCTCCTTGATCATGCGAAAGATCTCAAGAATTTTCATTTTATATAACATTTCAAGTGAAAATAGAGGGAAATCAAGATAAAAGTTTTCAGCCCACACCCACATCCCAAAATTAGTATTCAGATGTTTTGGTCATTGAAATAAAGATTTAGGGAGATGGGTTAGATTGAGAACTTTTTATCATCTCGTTTAATTTTAGCTCAAACAAATTAAAATATCCATCAATGACAAATATACATTTTAAGCAAAAGTAAGATTTTAGACTACAATTGATTTTAGTGGAAATGATTGGTCTCCATGTTTTTATAAACCCTTCTGAACCAAAACTGTAAATTCTACAAACTAAGTATAAACTAAACACTAATTAGCTAACAAAGTTTTATACACACACACAACTGCCTACAACATTGAGCAAAAGTCATAAATGGTGATCCAGAGACATATGAACAAGAAATGGTCAATATAAGCAGTTCCCTACAATGTAACAACTAGCCTGGGTAGATGATATCAGCTACCACAGACTAGGATAGAAGGGTACAAGAGGATAACAACACTCAGAAAACAGACTCGGTTTGTCTACTATATGTGCGGGGATTATCAGAAAAATAGAAAAGATCTGTGGTCCATATAACATCAGAATGACCTTCAACAGTGGTTCCACACATTGCAGACACCTTTTCCTAAAGACCTCCCATAGAGGAGAACATGATTAAGGACTGCGTGTATGCCATCCCATGCAACTGTGGGAAGAAATATAAACAGCCTGCCCACTCAAGATAAGACTGCAGGAGCACCATAAAGCTGTAACACAAGGGGAAATAGAAAATCAGGCATGGATGACCATGTATAGAGGGAAAAGGGGGGATTATCACTCTCTATGGGGTTGAAATAATAGACAAAGAACATCACTGGAAAATATGAAAACTTAAGGAATCAGCACATATGTTAGGCCACAAAAATCTCCTAAGTTGGCCAAGCATAGACATGAATACAATATGGAAATTAGTAATACAGAGTACTAGGGAAAAACAATAATAAAGAATTGCAATATGAGATCTTGTAAAGAATGATTACTGAAAAATTAGGTATATAAATCCCCAAAATTTATTTGCTACTTTGTCCCCAAAGACACGTTGCCCTGTGAATAAAAGCATTAGTTGAAATAATCCAGTGATTTGACCCAAAAAGTTGTGAGTTCAATACCTGGCCACAAGTATAAAAAATTAGAGAGTTGAGTTGCTAAAGGGAAATAACTGAAACTGAGTCATCCAGAATAGGCATAGCACATGGAATGAGAACAATCTACCCCAGTGGATTAAATAAAGGGTTCAGTTCGAAATTCCAACATATATTACCTGAAGAAGGCTGGTGTGTACAATGCTTGAAATGTGAATATGACAATAAAGATGGGGACAACAGTCAGAATCATTAAAAACTGAAAAGTATTAAAGAATGTTTATTCTTTTGACTATTTGTAAAAAAGAATAGTTGGTCAGAATTTCACTTCAAGCAATAAAGTTTGATTCAGCAGTTAAGCCTGCAGACTGGCAGTATTATGATTAAAGGTTTATTCCAAGTTCATAAAAATATTACTAAAAAACAAAAATCATTTTCAAACCAAAACAATTTTCTTTGTCCATATAAGGAGATATTAAATTATTTTTCTATTATCCACTGCATAAATATTCATTCAAAAATTGCCAAACTTACCATTTTCATGGAATCCTGCAAATCTATAACTTCTTGGCTGAAAATTTTGGACTTGCTTTTGGCCTCTTGGATTTCACAGAGTTGTTCCATTTTGTGTTCCAAAAAACGAATGACTCTTTTCACTTGTTTCTGTGTTTCTAAGTTGTCTAAAGTGGTTATTGCATCTTCTTCTCTTGTATATGCTGATTCCCCATCATTTTGGAGTTGTCGAAGTAGCACCTTTCCTATAAATGGCACAAAAGAGGATATTATCGTTTAAAATATATAATATAAATCAAAAAAAAATTTCATTTGAAGTATTTGTCATTAAGAACCAAATCCTTAAAAATACAGGGTCATTTTTATGACATTTTAAATATAAACATATTTACTAAAAGCTGTTTACTTATAAAGAAATATTTGATATTCATAGTTGTTGTTGGTTGAAATTTATAAAATCTTCCTATTAAAACAATTTTTCAGAAAAATAAGTTACTAGAGTTCAGTAATTGTTAATGTCCTTTCAGGTACTGATGGGGGCTTCATTCCTACCTAACCTTTTGTTTGAAGTAGTGCAGAATGTCAACATCTTGATCATGACATTAGTTTCTCTTTCAGTTATATATCATCCATTTTAGTTGTTACTGATGTTGTAATTCCTCAAAGTGATGTGGTTTCTATTATTTGGTACAGTTCTTTGTGATTCTGTAGTGCTAGTCCATGAGGTTTGAAGAAGGATGGTCCTCACTAATACCTACAGGCTTCATTTGCTCAAAGCCACTTTTAATTATTGATCTAAGAAGATGGTTGTAGAGACAGTTTAGATATTTCTGAATGAGTTTGGTGACATGCATGGCATTCATTTGAAAGTCTCAATTTGATAAGGTTATTTCAGAACATGACTCAAGTTCTTAGGTTAAAGCTTACTGATAGTTTAAATATTAACAATGAATTCAAGTAACAAAGATATGGTGAATAGGACCAGAACAGAAGATACAATAATAACAGAAATTAAAAGATGTAGAAAAGTAAAATAAAAATTAATTTAGGATAACAATAATGATATGCACATGCTGACTTCACAACTATTTATATTATTTGGCCAAACATTTTAACTCACCATCAGTAATTACACTTTCAGGTACAGACATCACAGACTTATTCCAGTTATGCCTCCGCCTCATGGAAGCAAATGGACTTGAGGCTCCTTCTTTGGCAAAAGCTCTATTCACTTGAACTTCAGCATTGTTCAAATGAACTGAGGCAGTTCTGGCTTCTTTCATAAATTTTTCAAAATCCTGCAAAAATGAAAACAATCAGTTATATAGTCAATAAAAAAAAATTTACTATACACAAATATTAACTTTCAACATAATTTCCTTCTTAATCAATGCACTTAACGCAACATTTCCCTAGTCATTTTAATAGATTGAACATTATACAATGAAAATTTTTGATCAAGATTTAACCAATAATAGTGTTAAGTTACAAATTTATTGATCCTTCTCAGATTAAATTGTTCTATTTGATTAGTGAATTCTATTGAAAAAAAAGTTCTGCTATAATCTTAATGGGAATTTATAGCATACTCATTTATATATTTGTTATAAAATTAGAAACTACTCCATTGCTTCTCATGCAACTCTTTCATGCTCACCACTGACTATTAGGCTATGGTTATTCAAAGATTATCTTACTAGTTGTCAGCAGCAGTTTTGAGATTTCACATTCAAAATCTTGGCCACTGAGCAATGGAGGTTTTCTTTTTGCTGGTGGATTTGAATAAGGATTAAAACAAAATTTCTCAAACAGTATTTTGATTTATTAAACAAAGGAATCTCTCAGTTCCAAAATGTCCTCCAATGGGATTCAAATTGAGCAAGGATCACAGAAGCACATACAAAAATAAATAAAGTAAAATAAAATTTCCTTCTAAACAAAACTGCTGTATTTAACATTAAATTTCCAACATCATTTTTATTTATGGTATTTACATTATGGGTTGAATTTCCACTAAAATATTAATAAGTTTCAGTCTCGAGATAAACCAATGAATTTCTAGCAGTCCAATGAAAATGATGAGACATGAAATACTAAGAAAAGGGAGAAATTATATCTGCTTCACATTCATTAATGAAAAAGTGGAAAAGCTTTTTAATGACAATGCATTTCACCTTCATGTTTTAGGTTGGCATCTCCAGGTAAGAATGTTAAACAAAAGTCTGTTTTTTTTAATATTTAAACTGTTAACATCTGTTTGCTAGGTTGGAATATTCTGGTCAGAATGAAAGAACATAACTGCATGTTTTTTTTAAAAGCTGTTAATTAAATTAATGTATTTTATCATTAGTCTCCGTTTGTTCGGGAATTGATTACATGACTACAGGTAGTGGCTATGATATGACTCTCATGGCACTTAATCACCAAAGTCTCTCCCCACTGCAGTCACTTTCCTCACTTACTGTTGTTCAAATATATGGGATACGTTTTTCTTTTTTTTTTCCAAAAAAAATCCATCCTTATTCCAACCACCTCTTTTATTAAATATACAGGTATACAGGTTTTATTAAATATACATAAGTTCATTCCACCTCATAATTTAGGCTGCAAGTATTCTGGGACAAAGTGTTTAGTTATTTAATAAAAGAGATGATTGGAATAATCATTCTGGCTGCCTATTTGAAACACAAAGATACTTATATAGAGAATATCTTATATGTCAACAAGCCAGTAACTTTGAATACATCTATTACTTGAAAACCAGCTGTAGATTTGTCAATAGTCCAGAGATTTGTAAAATTTTCTGGCCAAGATTTTCTGTAATGAAATAAGAATTTGGGGTGAATAGTATTTAAAATGTTATATGGCCCTTGAATAACTTCTACTAACAAAGTTGAAGCTATCCAAAATCATCTAACCTGCCAACCCACTTCGGCTAAGGTAGGGATGAAGCAGGTGAGATTGGAGATTTACTTACTTGTGAATGGTTTAGCATATCTTAATAAGTTATCCACTGGTTCAAACCTTACTATGACCTTCCTATTCTATTTCTGGCAGATTTCATTTACAACTAATTAACATTTTTAATTAGTTTTTCCAATAATTTATCCCATTCCCCATTCAGATTTAATCAATAACTTTTCCTTTAGTTTTCTCCTGGCCCCATATCCCAAATAGAACATCACATCATCTATCACTTAATTCACTGGCTACCTTGAGCCTCCTTACACAGTTTATATGCCTCAACAAGTTGAAGGTTATCCACATATAATTATACTCATTATTTCAAAATGTCTATTTTTTATAATACCAAAGATTTTGAATCCTGATTTTCTTGACCTTTGAATTGGTACAACAAAATGGCAAGAATGAAATGGATAAACCAGAGACATTTAATTGCTCAGATAGATTTATCAAAAAAAAATGTATTCCTATGTATTAGATATAAGTTCTCATACTGATACTGAAGAAATATTAATAAAATTAATTAGGATAAAAATAACTTAAAAAATTTAATTTTAATATTTCGTAGCAGAATCACAGTTTTAAATAAAACTTTTGTTTTGTAAAAAAATTTGTCGTCCATATAATTTAGTCACTGGCTCTAATTTTGTTCATATTCTTAGAATTAGAATAATGGAAAACATACAATTTCTTGATTCAGTCACAGATATACCTTGGATGCTAAATAATTAGTTAAATATTTGTTTTCTAGTGCTTATCAGATGTAATGTGTGAGATTTGTGATCTTTTTAATATTAGGAAAATTAAAGAAAAATCTTTATATTAAAAAAAAAAAAAAAAAGAAAAAGTGATTAGGAAAATATTCTTAACAGTAGAAAAACATACATACTCCACTGAAGAAGGAATTTGCTTACCATACGATTCTGAAGCCAGTGGCAGTGTTTGAAAGGCAAAAGGCCCCCAAGATTAGCAGTTAGTTGATAAGGACTGATGTATGTTGGCAGATATTTGAGAGTAACATACTGCAACTTAAAAAGAAAACAACACAACTGTTTACGCAAAAGTAAAGCTAACTGAAACAGTTATAAATAGAATATAGGAAAATAATGCAAACTGGTGTAGAATAAGAAAAATGAACAGATATAAAGAGAGATAAGAATTAAAAAGTTAATTAAATGAAAGCAGAAACAGGACAAAGAAAGGCCGGATGAATAAGATTATAAAATAAGAAATTGAGGAGAATAATAGTTGCTACTTAAAAATATGGAAAGATTTTGGAATAGAATATCATTCTTGATAAAGTTTCAAATCAAATATGAAATAAGCAAATAGAGGAGACATACAAGCTCATTAACCCTTAAATAGTGGGAAAAGGTTGCATGAATATGAATGCCAAATGGGTAAAAATATTCACTTTTTTTAATGGGTAGTTTTTATACTTATTTTTGGTTTAATTATATACAAAAACTAACAAAATGCTATTTTAACTTTATTACATTATGAAAAAAAAGTAAAATAAAAAAAATGTTAGGTTCTTAAATTTAATATATTTTAAAAGTATGATCCTCCTTGAAACATTCTATGTACAATGAAGGTATGCATTCTTTGCACCAAGTTATCACCATTTTTCACCTCTTCTTTTCTTCAAGAAGCCTTAGTGCAAAAATAGCACTGTCTTTAGATTGTTCCTACAGCTTTATTTGCAGGCAGATACTCCAGGAAATTTGATAATTTCATGAATCCTAGTAAATAGTAACCATGAGTCTGAAAGTTGTCAATTAAATTATTTAATCTCAAATCATGAATGATTGATGGCTGTATTGTTGGGAAAGGTTTAAATCATCAATTGATGATATCTGCTGATCTCCAATGAAATATCAATTGATGATATCTGCTGATCTCCAATGAAATATCAATTGATGATATCTGCTGATCTCCAATGAAATATCAATTGATGATATCTGCTGATCTCCAATGAAATATCAATTGATGATAGCCCCTGTTTCATGATTAAATTTAGAGTAGCAATGCAAAAAAGAAAAGAAATGGATCTAAAAACAGAAACGGATTTAAAAGAATTTTAAATAAGAGCAGAAGCAGGACAAAGCAATGTCAGGTGAATAAGCTTAAGAAATTGACGAGAATAATATTTGCTACTTAAAACATACATGTGGAAAGTTTTGACAAAGAATTCTCAATGAAGCTTTAAATCAAAGATGAAATAAGAAAATGAAAGTGGCATGCAATAAACTCATTAAGTTTAAAATAGCAATGCAAAAAATGAAATTGAAGTTGTTATAACAATTATATAAATCATTAAAATCAAATTACATACTAAATCTAAGAAGTGACCATTGGACCTATGTTGACCGCCAGAGCCTTGGAGGACTGGCTATCAATAACTACCTTCAGAGATCAACCTGTTAGGAAGGATTTTATAATAGAGAAAAACTTTCCAGTAATTCCATAACTAGAGAGCTTGTGTAGCAAACCTTTGTGCCACACCTTGTCAAAGGCCTTTGAGATATCTAATGCTATAGTCCTTGTGGCATGTGTGTCATCAAGGGCCTTACTAATTTTGTGCATAATGGTAGTTAGGATGTCAGCAGTGGATTGGGCTGATCGAAACCCATACTCCTCGTTGCAAAAGAGGCTGTTCCTATCCAGGTGCTTGATGACCTTCTTGTTGATTAAAACCTCAAAAAGTTTACTGATAATAGTGAGGAGATTAATGGGTTTAAACTGGGAACGGGAAGATTGGTTACCCATGTTCTTGAAGACCGGGCATACACTTGTCACCTTCCACATGCTTGGGAAAGATTTCTCTTTCAAGCAGTGGTTAAATAACTTTACTAGAATTGGGGATAATTCTGGGCTGATACTCTTAAGGATGACCACTGGAATTTTGTCTGGGCCAGTGGCTTTTTTGGGGTCAAGGCTTTTGATATGCCTAGAGACTTCTCTTGCTGAAATGAGTATATTACTGAGATTGGACTCAGTGACATATGGGAAGTTGGGGAGGGGATGGCCTTTGTCATCTAATGTTGAGTTTGAGACAAAGATCAAGGTGAGGATATTGTCAATCCTCTCTGATATTTGATCAAAGATTACTGGCCCTTCATCCTGAGGACAATACAGGGCAAAGATGAATGTGGTACTATGGATAAGTGCCATGCGGAAGCACTTTTATGGGAGATCAGGTTTTTCTTTTTTGTGTCCCCACCACAGGGAAACCTGTCCTTGATGTGACTGTGGCAATTTAGGTGGTCATATTTTGATATTTTTGTTATAGTGGGTGAAGTTTGTGTAAGCATTTAGCAAACAAAAATTGTTTCCTTTTTAACAATTTATGAACTCAACATTTTCCTAGGAGAGGGCAATTAATTTTTATAAAAGTAATAAAAGCAATAATTAAATCAGCTGTGATTATTGATTCACTCTTTTGTTTTTTCTCTCTTACTCCCAGAATTTACTAGTCATTATTGAAAGAAAGCTTTGATGAATTTGCTTAATAAATCCTACCCATAATATCAAGTATTATGTAAACAACTAGTAAATATATATAGTGAACAAAAATATTCCTGTTTCCTGGTATAGAGGAATTAGTTACATTGATGGAAAGTAATTAATTTTTCCCAAAAGTGGGAAAAAAAAAGGAATAAGAGAATATGAAAAATCAACAAATCATAGCAAAAAAAGAAAAAAAAAGAAGCAAGCTTAAAAACCTACATCAAAGTGGAATCAAAAATATATCAAATAAGAATAAAATATATTAAAAATTAAGATGGAAAAATGAAATTAATGACAAAAAATAAATACTTTTATGATTTATTTAATATAATTATCTCAGATGCATAGAAAATTAGATTTTCATTAACCATTATGATAATAAAGAAATAATTATCTCATACAATTAATACTTTAAAGCATTCATTGCATATTTTATAGGATAAATAAAATGAATTCTTTAAAATTAGAAATGAAAGGTGAATTTTGATGAATACTTTTATGCTTACCTTATCAGCAAGATCTACACTCAGACGTCTAGGTCTTTCTTCTAATGAAGTTTTCACAACCAAAATTCTCTTCAAGTTTCCTTGGAGAGATTCCTAAGAATAAATAAAAGAGAAATAAGCTTAAAATATTGCCAAAAAAATATTAAAAACTTTTTTTTTTATTGAGAAAACTCTTTCAAACTAATTACATACATAATCTCTAAAACTGTGTTATTTTTATACAAATTTATGTGTCAACCATTTAATAATATCTGTTAATACTAGGTAAATATTTACATTAGTATAAATCAATTTTATTTATTTTGAAATGTCTCTGGTTAAATGAAGTTATTCAAAGTTTTTACCAAAAATGAAAAATATTCTCTTTTCAACAAAATGGCTGATTTCTGACCTATTTTAATCTTGAAACAATGCAATAATATAAATAATTTGTCAAAATAAAAATTAATGGTTTTGTTGAGTAAAAACAACTTATTTCAGAATAATTTATACTAAAAAATATTCTATTTTTCTACATTTCAAATGTATATGTAATTAGTCAGTAAAACCTTTTTGGGAGTGGGAGTAAATTATTTATAAATACATTTTACTACTAAAATGTTTATTACAATAATTGCAGACACTAACAAGCATAAGAAAACTTTATAAATATAGATCTGATTTCATCATATGACTAAGCACATCGTTTTATTATACAGGCATTCAGAACAATGTATAAGACATCAATGATGGAAAAAGATTAAATGTGATATTAAGGTCTGCAGTCTGATTGACATTAAAAAGAGTATAAAACTATGGAATTTATGATTCATTGTTTTAATGCTAAAAGCAACTTGTATCATTAATAATCATTTAAATACAAAAAGGCAGATACAAAAATAACTATTGCTTTTTCAGATTAAATTCTATGTAAAAAAAAAAATGAACAAATTGATTTTGTACTCTTTTATAAATTTAAGTAATCAAGTAGATTAAATCAAAAGGCAATCAATCATGTGATAAAAACCCTACCTTTAAGATAGCTAAGAGATATCTTAGATCAGGCCATGTATCATATTGGTTGTCTACAATCACAGTGAAACCTTGATGGCGAGATTCTTCACTAAAAGACAAGAAAAAAAATTCAATGTCCTTCATTAGTCAAAAACCGGATGAGCTTCCATGTATTTTCATTTTACATGATTAGGAATGGGTTTAGATGTATTTTTTTTCCACAGTCAAGTAGTTTTATAGATTCACTCCCAAAGTCATTGATCAGTTTTCAAGCTGAACCTATCTAAACATATTATTCAAAGAAAAATCAATAAATAATAAATATTTAAGAAATGTAAGAATGATATGCTTATTTTACAATGCTTATAGAAAATACTAGATCACAGTTGTTATGTTTACTTATTATAAATTACAATCTTAAAATTTTAAAAATATTTTTTTTTCTTAATTTCAATTCTCCTTATGTAGCCAAATGATTTAATATTTATTCAGCCACCATCAACTTTTTTTTTTATTTTGCAGGATTAAAAAATGGCAGAGATAAAATGTGAATTAAATCTAGGATCAAATATTTAAAAGACCCAAGACTGTATTTTCTATTTTTAGAATGAGGCAAGTATATTTTGTCTTTTTTTAATAAGAATTTTTGTGTTAAGTATTGAGTATTCTGCTTATGTTTTCTTCCCCGCTTTTTTTCTACTACACAGCACGAGCGTCATCTTCAGAATTACTACTCTCCTCTAGCAAGCAATGTAGCCACTTATATAGTAAGTGGCATGTCCATTTCATCAAATGATGATCATTGCACACATGTACCTGTAGGTTTCAAACCGGATTTCCTGTTACAGCTGCAGCAACTCAAACACACTTCATACTAGGTAAGCCATGCTCTGTCTTTTTTCTCTAGTATGCAATAAACCATGATGCAGATAAAATATTATCCATTTTAACTTTAGGAAAGAGTATGAACTAAATATACAAAAATGAAAATATCACAGATGTTTAAAAAATAATAATGTAATAAAATTGCTTACCTTGGAATATGTGACAAATACTGAACACAATCATAAATGTCATTTTGAGTGAAAGACACGGGTCCATCATGCATAGGGAAAGTTAAAATTGGGCCTCCTTCTTTGTCTCGTCCACCTAAAAATGGAAAAATAGATTATACAGAACAACAACGCATGGATATTTATATGATATGAACATTGAAACTTGTAAGTAGCAAATGGCTAAAGAAGCTTTATTATTATTATTGCAAATTAAGCAAGAAGCATCTTCAATACACATGACTATTAAATTGCATTTTATGTACAATTATGCAAAAACTTCAAATATAAGATATTCATTTGTAAAGCTTGTACAAGTGAACATAAATAACTATTGTTTTTGTTAGATATAACAAATTACTGAAAAAAAAAACTGATGATGCACTATCACTCTTATTCAATGAAATTATTAAACATTTAATTTAAATTTATTTTTATAATCATTTATTCAGACTACTATCAACAGTATTGTAATGTGGGTTTTTCAACTAACATCTGATTTTTGTTAAATAAAAAAACACTCTCATTTTCTTGCCATTCTTAATAAAAAACAATAATTTTGAAGATTCTTGTTCAGTTTTCACTAACAACATAATTATAGTTTTCAAGAACTATTGATAAAATATTATAATACATTAAATAAATCAGCTATGTTATAATTTAAAAAGACAATGAAAAACGTGAGACTTATTATTTTGTCCAGCACATGACACAGTAGAACAGTGCTACTCAAAGTGGTGGTCTACAGACCATTGCCGGTATGCAAACCATCAGCTACTGGTACGCTGCCAGTGTCCAAGCCATGCTAAGGGATCACTTGTAAAGATTTTGGTTATATAATTTTTGTTTTTATATTAATAAACTGCTTATTTTTTATTACTTTTTATATGTTTTAATATTGAATTTTTTTTTTTTGCAAAATAAATGGAAGATAAAAAATAGTCAAATTTATATCATACTTATTATAAAACCCAGGTTGTGTGTGTGTGTGTGTGTGTGTGTGTACGTTTATATATTGGATCGGATTTCCTACATTTTTCAACCAATTTCAACAAAACTTCACTTTTTTTTTTGGCAGGTAGTGTTTCTTATTGTCTTGCACACTTTTTTCTTTATTTTATGCTTTAAAAATTCCATTTACAAGACAATTGTTTATAATAAAATTCTATTCAATCGGTAGACTCATAACGATTGAAAACAATGTTTTTGTTTGAGTTTGGGTTTGGGTTTGACCAATTTGTAAAAAAAAAAAAAGAAAAAAAAACTAATTAAGACATGCATGTCTGTCAACCTTAAACAATAATCTTTGTCAATTTTATTTTTCAGTCTTTATGATGGTCGATACTTGATCTATCTCTTACTGTTACATCCCCGGGCAACGCCAGGCACTACTGCTGGTTCATTATATATATTGTTTCCGGTATAAATTAATATTAATATTACCACAAACTATTACAGGTACATGACACATTGAGAAAAAAAATGACAGTCTACCATATCAGATTGTTTGAGAAGCACTGCAGTAGAGGACATCCAATGAGAAATGGTTTTTCAGATTAGCTTACTTATCATGATCCACAGTAAGGTGTCTAGCATATATAGCCACATTTGAAGAGAGACATCAGAAGAAAAAATATCCTGACATTACTATTCATCGTTAAAGCTGCTTAGTTTCACATTAACTATACAAATTTTGTTTTTTAGTATCTTTACTTACCATCAAGAAGAGATAGTTGAAATATTTAAGTTACATAATGAGGAAAGAGGTCTCGGAAAATTTGATACTCACAGGACATATCGAAGGCAAGACAGAGGCAAACAATGCATAATCTACCAAGTGAGCTTGAGTAAATGGATGGAGGAATAAAGTTTAGGAGAGATAATGAAAAGAAAAAATTATTAAGAGCTACAAAGGACAGGAAATTGTGGAGAGTCATGATCACCAACGTCCTGAAGGGACAGGGCACATAGAAGAAGACTTACCTGTCAGATATACTATTTCCTTCTGAAGAAGCTCAACAATATGTGCTGCTTCAATTCCTTGGCCTACAAAGAGAAACATACTGGCATCAATACAGTCTTCAAGATCATCATATATCTGGGTTATAAACATGTAAATAATAAGATAACTCTCTTTAGACTTCTCTTGAACATGTAAACGAATGTGTTTTTGTCACTATGCTTTAACAGAAAACTTGCAATGTAGAAAGTTTTATCTATTATTTTGCTAATGCAAACAGTGGAAACTAATTTATTATTATTTCTTAATATTCTGTTACTGTTGTAACCTAGAGAAGGTTACTGAATAGAATAATCAAACATGTTGGTAATGAACAATAATAATTAGGATACGAACAACACATATAAGATTCACCATTGGCGTGTAGAAGTAGTCAACTGCTAGAAGTGAGTCAAATGAATTCTACAATGAATTTCCAACTGCAGGATATCTACCAATCGCCTCATGCGGTCAGATGTGGCACAAGATCAAATTTAATGTAGGGTATCTGAGCCAGTAGGCTCAGCCAAAAAACGGGGTCGAATATCTGTTTCCTGAGACAAGACTCTGCCTTTCGACATAGCTTCGTCTGGGGATCCTCTCTGCCGGGAGGCAGAAAGTTTGACCAGCACAGTGGAAACAAATCTCCAACTGCAGACTAACATACACTATTTATTACTGTATTTATGTGAAAGGGGAAATACCCATTATCATCCATAGGTATGCTACAACAGTTACCAATATTAATCAAATGAATTTAGAAAGTACTGTAAGAAAGAAAATATACAAGTATATATGAGCAATTTGGTTCCTGGGATCTACTATTAATATTAAGTACAAATGCATGACAGATATGTACCTGAAAATTTTCTGCTATCCATATATGCTTATCCAAACAAATCCAGAAAATATGAATATTCTTTTCTGTTAGCATTATTTAAAAAATTAAAAGTAAACACCAACATCTTTATCTTGTTGATCAACTACCAACAAAGGCAAAGCCTTATTCCTACAGCTGATATTCTATATATGCTGTTACCAATGTTACTACAAAGGAAAACTTAAATTATTTTATGACATGCTAAGATCTAAATTTGAAGATTTATTAAACTAATATCTTCAAAGTTTTCAGCATATCATTAAAACTGGTCAGTTTTCCAACCTTCAAAAGGCAAACTTTAGTGACCTTTGAAGCAAAAGCTTTTCTTTTACATTGGGGCTTATTGTCTTGATATCTTTCAGAGTAGTTTAATTTAGAAAGCAATAAAAAGTGTTATACTATGTTACAACTACATTCTGGGATTTTAATGATTTTGTTACAAGGTAATCTTCTCTCAATTACCCATAGGAACATGATAAAGAAATTACCTGGGGAAATTAATTATAATGGAAACGGTGAGCAACTGAAAAACAATGGACTTAACAGTTAATGTCAAAAGAGACACCAAGTTGCTTGTGCATGGTTTGGCAATCACAATAAAATAAAAAAATCCTATCAAGTCTGATGGTGAAAGACTATCAAGTCTTGTAGCTACAAAGATTTTAGCTGGAAGAAGAATTATCAGTGATTTTTTCTCCTTTTTCCACAATATTAAATGGCTAACCCAGAGACAGAATTTCACAAGAGTAAAAATTAAAAACTAACGTTGATTGATTGATTTGTTTGTTTAATGGTATATCAACTCCTTATGGGTCATTTAATGCTGAAATTTAATTTTCTTGGGAGCTTTGAAGTAATAAAATTATGTTATTCTGCTTTCACAATTGAATACATGGTAGATCATACTCAGTTTTTGTGCATATATATGTTTGTGTGGACATAATTATTAGAGGCAGTGATATGTGTGTTTTATGTTGTAGTTTTGTTGTATTTTGGAATACAGTTTGGTTTAAGAAATTGTAGAATATTATATGGATTAATGTGATGAAAGAGTTTATGGGTTATTTAATGCCGAAATCTAAATATTTTGAATGTAATTATATACCTTGAACTAGAGATAAAATGTATTGTTTGTCATTTTTTATATAAAAATGTATTGCTGGTATTTTTACTATAAAATTGTATTTTTATAATTTCATAGTGTTTTGTTTTTGTTTTGGAGTGTTCACTATTTGCCCATAGCTGGGACCATAACAGGTGCTACCACTCCAGGTCAAGGTGGACCTGGGAACAACATCAGCTAAGAGGTTGTTCCATGCTTCTCAAAACCCCCAATCTCTCAATCAGAGGACTTGCTTTCAGATGTAGTTTATCATCATACCCAAGACTAAAATACTAATGTCAACATGGGAGAGATATGGTAGTAAGCAAAAGAAATGACTCCTCCAGATAAAAAAAAATCAATTTTTATTAAGAAGCTGTAAGTATTCAATAATGTACCTTCAAGAGTTGCATCTATGGTCATTCAGGACTGTAATGCAAGTTGGCATATTATTGTGAAAACAGTATGAGTAGAGATATAGTAAGATTACTGTGAATGCAGAATCTTGCATTACAGTCCTGAATGACCACAGATACTAATACTGAATATTTAAAACTTAAAATTTGAAGAAAATTGATTTTTAGCTGTGACTCATTTTTTTTTCTTCCCACTGTATTTCACTATCATTTCATTTAATGTTAGGAAAATTACCCTTTATTTTGACATTAAACAAATAGTAAGACATTAAATATTTAATATTATTACAATCAATGTGATGCGTTTGAGATGTGAGGAAGTATATAATTATAAGTTTATTATACATATCTATATACTTTCTCTAGATTCCAAGACAAATTCTGAGGTTTGGTTAGATTTTGAAAAGGGGGTCAGGATGATAATTTTTCAGCATCTGCTCACACTTACAACCAACATTTATAGTCACTTTGAGTTCTCTTAAAAAAAGCATATTTCAAAATAAATAAATGCATAAATAAAAACAAAATCACAATTTAGTATTAAGGCAAGATTAACTTAAAAACTTTCTAAGAATGACATTAAAATTTAGACTAACTTTAAAAAAATTCTATAAAAAATGAAAAAAATGCATATTATATCCTAGTAAGAAAAGGGAGATAACCCTAAATTACAATTTCAAAATTTACATTTGATCCAGAAAAAAAATGTTAGATTTTTGTCAATATCTCTTCAGAGCTGTTTGACCAGACATGCAAGCATTAACAAAATAACTAATAAAGAAAATGATTTTGTTAGAATATACAACCAACATATAAAACTAAATAAATAATGAGAAAAATAATCCTTACTTTCATAGAAAATTTCATCACTGTTTTTTGAGCTGGATTTGCTTCGAATCGAGGAAGACAAAGATGATGTATAATGCGCCATTTTGTGCCAGCCTGGAAAAAAAGAAAGAAATTTCATTCTCAATTATATCATTTATACAAATAATGACTGACCAATGCATTATAACTGATTCTATAACAGTGCCTAAGTATATAATTCTTATACAGGCACTGCCCTGCTTACAAATATTCAAGTTAAAAATTTTCATTGTAACAAACAAACCCTTAAGATACTATACTATAGTTTCTATAAGAAATTACTATTTAACCTTCTTTACCTACTTGGTGAGCAGTAGCAATGTAAACTGTTCAGAGTGAGTGGCAAAAATTCAAAAGAAGTGATAAGACATAGGAAATAAATAAATTGATAAGCTTTATCAGTGAGAAAAGATACCTATGAAGAAATACATAAACAGAAAATTTTAATATCAACTGTTAAAAGTTTAATTAAATTGAACTTCTCTTAAATAACATTACTACCAGCAAACAAGGCAATACCAAAAATAAAGTACAGTAGTATAAATATCCATTTATTTTTGCTTCCAAACATTTGAGCTTCCAATATCCAACCTACCTCGTACACATTGAAATTATAGAAATTAATTAAAAAAAGGTTTTTGTTGGAAATGTGGAATTTAGCTTCAAGAGACCTATACTGGCTTGTGATTTTTGCAAGATCTGACAAGTTTATTCATCTTTAAATATATCATTTCTATCAAAAATAAAAATGGATTATTCTCAATTAACCATATCTGTTTATTACTGTCTTCTCATGATCATATTGTTAATCTTACCTTCAATTAAGAAAACTGCCATCATGATCAACATGCCTTATTCCTCTTTTATCCAATTAGTCCCTCAGCATACAAACTGATTATCTTGTGCCATTTGTTTATTTCTAGGTATATTATACTAATTCCTTCCAATATTTTCTATCAGTTGATTCTGCTTCAACAAAAGCCTTTCTCTTTACCATTTCTGAGCGATTTGATAGTATTTGCCAGGGTACCCACATTGCAACCATATATGACAAGGTTGAGGTTTAAAGTGGGTTTAATGGCAATACCACACAAAAATTCACTGTTGGGGATGCCTCAGCTACCAGGTAATAAATCTAGGTAATGCCTGGGGGGATGGCTTGAATTAAAATCAAAAGATAAATCTCAGCCAAAGGCAAATGTATTTTATTGATAATATTTATTTGTAATAAAATACAAAATGTGGCACAAGGCCAAAAAGGGGAATGGGGAAAAGGACAGTATTCTTTTGTCTTAACTTAGCTAGCCACAAACACTGACCCAAACATACAACAATATTCCTTACACTAGAACAATGCAGTATTACCTTTCTTACTACATCCATCATAATACCTCATTGTCTCCATGAAAGTACTAACTCGTCCCCTTATGTACAATTCATTGTCTGTGGGGAGAGGGGAATAAAATAACAATTTAAAAATCTAAACCCCAATGAATATTTACAAAATGTACAAAAACTATTTACAAGAAACTAAACAAAATAATGTTACTAATAAAATACTCCACAATCCCTAAATGTGGCAGAAACATCAGTTAACTGGACAAAATCAATGTGGGACTTTGCAAATGGATTTTTATAGATATCCCCAGTGGAAAAATCATAAGTTTATATAGAACTCAATGGGCAGAACCCACTTCAAATGCAGGTGGAACAGGTCAACATATTAAAGCACAAGTTTACATTAGCTGAAGGCTATCAGTTCAATAACTGTGCTGGGTAGTAAATGTACATTTGAGCTATTTAACAACTTTGCATTTATAATGTCCATCTATTATCTAATTTGAATGCTACATGATTGGCTTATTTTATTGATGAATCTTAATTTTGAGAAATTCTAGAAAGTTAAAATATACTATGAAGATGATTGATATTCCAGGAATATAATAACAGTATTTGATACTATTGTCAAGGTCAGCTAAGACAAGACAGCTAATAAACTACTGACAGCTTAACCAGCATAGACAATTGATTTAAAAGAATGAAAAAAATGTTAATCCTTATTCTTCTTCTGTGTTCCATCCCTTCAGGACATGGGCAATCATGGCGCTCCAAAACTTCTTACCTCTTGTGGCCCTTAGCAGTTTTTCTGATTTTGCTAAGGCTCCTGTGCCTTCATTTTACTATCCATTCAGATTATTAGGTAGGTGGCTTGCTGCCTTCCCCTATCTCTCTTGCCCTTAATATACCCTGTGATGGTTAAGTTTTCAAAACTCATCTTCCTCATTATGTGTTCAAGCAATTTCAGATATCTTTTCCTGATTCTGAACTTAAGAGTTCTTTTTGTTGCCATTTTCTTTATGACTTCCTTGGTGCTTACTCATTCAGTCCATAGAATTCCCAGTAACTGTAGAACCACATTTCTGTTGGCTCAGGTTTTCTCCTAATCCATGGAGAGACTGTCCAGCACTCACTACTATATAAGAAGATGGATAAAATATAGTAATCCAACACCTTTGTTTCTAATGAAATTTTTCTGTTTCTCAGAGCTTTGCATAGCTTTTGGAATGCGCTTTTTGCTAATCCAATGCATGTTCAGATTTTAGTGTCACATTCTCCATCCTCTGTTAAAACACTCCTCAGATATTTAAACTTTTTTATTTGTTTGATGCTGACATCTACAATTTGTAACTCACATCTTGGACTTTTTCTCTTCTGATGACCATACTTTGTCATCTTGCAGTTAATGGTTCTTCTGTGTACCATGCCCCTTCAGGACCTTGCTGATCATGGCTCTCCATAATTTCTTCTCCCTTATAGCTATTAGTAAACTTTGTCTTTTTGCTATTTCTCCTAAAGCCTGTTCTGCCATCCATTTACACAAGCTCATTAGGTAGGTTATGCACTATTTTCCTCTGCCACTCTTGCCATCAATGTCCTGTGAGTATCAAATTTTCCAAGCACCTTTTCCTCATTATGTACTCTAAAGATTTTAACTATCTCTTTCTGATGTATCCTTTTTGTTTCCATTTCCTCTAAAAATTGTCCTTTACATGTTCAGTCCATGGGATTCACAGCAACCTTCTGTAGAACCACATTTCTGTTGCTTTAAGTCTTTTCTTCATCTGTAAGAAGATTGTCCCACATTCAATGCCCTATAGAAGGACAGATATTACATAGCAGTTCAGTACTCTTTTCTTTGATTCTAACAAAATTTTCTTATTTTTTAATACTTCGCCTTCAGTTTTCAGTATTGCACTTTCTGTCCTCTGTTAAAACACTTCCTAGATATTTAAATTGTACTTGCTTGATTTTTGTATCTTCAATTTGTAATTTGCATGTTTGGCTGTTCCTTTTGTCGATAACCATACATTCTGTCTTCTTGCAATTCATGTTTAGTCTTTTCCTCTTGCTTTCCTTCATTACCTTGTGTAGTTCTTGTAGTTGACAATTTAGATTATTTTTCTTTTCAAAACATCTCATGATAAAAAGATATCTCATAATAAAACTGAGCAATATATTTCATTCTGAAATGTGTACTAATTTTGATTAAATCAAATGGAATTGATAAACAAGCATGTGGTCTTTGATTTTCCTGATGCTTCTCAATGCAAGCTGGGTACAAACAAAATATTTAACTATTTTTTTTTTAAAAGCTCCATGGCTGAATTATTCATGAAGAAATAGATGATTTGCTGCATTCAGGGTCATGCACATGTAAAAATTTGTTTCAAAAATGATATATTTGGCAGGTAGTCTGGAAATTTATCTGTCATCAATCCTGCCAAGAAGAGTGGAGCCATAATGAAGAGGGTCATTCCATCTCAAATCACTCAGGTGATGCTCTCAAAAAAATCTGGGCAAATTCACAGGTGTTCCGCAATCAAATTTATTGAAAAATTCCAAATATTATACCTGTATCTTTAGTAGTTTTAAAATAAGAGCAACTTGAAATTTCACTGCATTTTTTGCATTTTACTAAAAAAGGCTTTCAATGAATTTCTGACATTTGTAACGCCAAGACTATTGCATGTACAGCTTTTAAACTTGGTGACAATAGTTAATGTTTACTGTAATTTATAAAAATATAAACAGCTCACATGTATCTTATACAGGGCGTCCATAAAGTTCGTGTGCACTTTAAAAAATTTATAACTTTATTTGTATTTGCGATAGAAATAATCTGTAAAAAATGTTATAAAGTTTAATGTACCTAGTTTTAAGTATAGCTAAAATAACTAATGTGATTACAGTTGGCAAATGTTTTCTGTGAACTGCAAAATCGTATTACCCTTTGTATTGCTAATGATGGAGGACATGTGGAAACTTAAATAAAATTTCAATAAAACCTTAAAAAATATAGATTTACTTCTTTCTAATCCTTTTTACAAATTATTTCTATCTCAAATACAAATAAAGTTATAAATTTTTTAAAGTGCCCACGAACTTTATGGACACCCTGTATACCTTTATTTTCATAACGATCTAAAAATGGCCAAAATGCAAAAAGACAATGTCTATTTTGAGAGCTTCATTTATAAATTATGTCAGATACAGCATCCAAATTGGTTTTCCTTTTATTTATGGCCTAATAGATTATTTCTATGCAGTAACCATATTTATTCCTGTTATAGAAATATCAGTAATGTTTATTTTTATTGCCCAATGTTTTAAAAGCCTTAAAATTGCTTATTTTCATGAAATCAACAGACTAGTTAGGCAGTTTAAGAAAATTTATATATTTTTACCACATATTCTTACATGTCTGAAGATCATGTGACAAGTTTGATTTTATAGACATGTCATGGTTTTGTTCATTTTGGCACCTTATAAATTTAATACATAAAAAAAAAAATTAAGCCAAAAGTTGGTACCCCTATAATTTTCTATGCAAATAAATGATTTTTGACTTCATCTTACCTTTGTTCCAAATACTTGAGATACTATATGCCCTTAAAAATAATTTAAATGCACTTCTTTTTTTATTCATCATCATCTATAAGTCATGACCCTTTAGTATGTGGGCAATCATGACTCTCTATAACATCCTATCATTTGTAGCCCTTAGTAAAGTTTGT